ACAAAGCCTGGGCATACATTAGATACACCTGGCACACACATAGGGATGGCCCCTGGGAATGGCATCACTGACAAACTTCAGCCTCAGCTGCAGTAAGAGAGGATGGGTATGACTGATAACACTAACATAAGCAATAGTGAAGGCTCTAACGCCATGTGCAATATACTTTTCCTGCAGAGTACCGTTTTCTTCACACATAATTTTTGACACCAATCTAAAGAAAGTTCGTTCAATGAGTGGACAGCCAAAACTTTCTAATTTAGTCAATTTCTTTATTTGCTCAATATGAAGAAAAGTAGCTGTTAAATTTTATATGCAATTTTACTTGCTGTGAAGTAACTAAAATTGCAGGTACAGCTACAATAGCAAAATAGCTTCTAGAGTTCAGTAATGGGGTAGGGGAGGCAAAATAAATCTACAAAAACAGAGTATGCTTTTTAGAAAACTATGTTGCTAAATATCTTTTGAAATTCTATGAAAATCATACTCCTACTCTAAACATAAAGAGCCAACATTAAAGTTATCTCTAAAAAGATATCCAAAGTTTAAATATATAAAAAAACCCTCCTCATCTATTCATTGTGGAGTATTATTGCCAAGATGTGGAATTCCACAGTTATCAGATCTTAGTAAACTCTTCAGTAGTGGTACAGTAAGAAACATTACCTATTACTGAAAGTTACAAGCAGCAAATTGAGGTTATAGTTGTAATAGACGGTGAAAGTCAACAGCTAAAAAGAATGTTTTACAACAACCTGAGGCCACCTGTCACAGAGAGGGCCTCAGAAGAGGATTAATATGAAAATGTGGCTCATGACTCCTTTGTCATGAGGACTCCTTTGTCACATTCATCCCCATTTGGAAGAACATCCACCAAGAGCCAAGGAAGCTGGAGGCAGTCATGGTGCACGTATCAGTTCTGTCACACAGGATCAGGAACGTTCTGGCAGGTCTGTAATCCTGGGTTTTGTACTTTCAATGAAAATCTACAGTCATGTGTATTTTACATGACTTTTTTCCAATAAGAATATTACTAATTTCACATTCATCTTATGAAGACAGAGGAAAACTCCAACCGGAGATCTCAGGAAGCTTTCTGCAATAGTTTCTGTTGTGTGCTGGACTGTTCACCACTGGGTTCGATAGAAGGGTATGCAGTTACAACAATCAAGTATGAGAGGGGCTATTTGCTTCCTTTGCACGTGGAATAAAGTCTGTTCACTGGGGCTGTTCTCTTACCATCTGCACAATTAATTCTGTTTACAACATTATCCAAAGCAATGGGAAAGTCAGACTCCCATTACGAGAGATAATGACACTCCAGAGGACATGGATTAAAAGCGAGCCTGGGTAATGTCAATTTATAGGAAAATTAATTTCTACTTGTTTTTGGAAAGTGTTCTTTGAGAACTACATTTCAGTAAGTCTTATTCTTGTAGGGGCTCCTAAGCAGTATATTAAATGGTCTATAAATTAGGATGTCTTATAGATATTAAGCTATTTTAAGAATGCACACAATTAAGTAATTTCAGGTGTTATTCAACAGGAATTTAATCTTTCGGACCACAGGCCTTACCCAAGTGATAACCTTATGCTACTTGGTTCTAAACCAAACAAAACAATACCACAGACTTCAAAAAAAGCCAAATTCATTCAGAATCATAAATCAGAAAAAGCTAAACCTCTTAATGCAGTTTGACTGTTTCTATACAAAACCAAAAGAACCCCAAAGCAAGTCCTTTCATGTAGCTAATTAAAAAAAAAAAAAAAAACCACAAAAAAAACCCAAACCAAAACCTTTTTTCACAAGGATTTGAGATCTGTTACTTCATCAATACCAAGTGTTAACAAACAGCAATTTTGGCTTCTGCTAGACAATAATTCCTTAAACCTGTAGCATTTTATATATCTCAGAACTAGGAAGGATAACTTGTTATATACTTGCCATGATATAAATAATACTTTCCAAGATCAACTTTGGCCCTTTTTGATTCTACAGAATGTCAAAAAAACCCTGAATTTTCGTTAACAAAATAAACAGATCAGAGAAAGTATTTCAACTATCAGTTGCTCTATAAATTTTCTTTAGTGCTGTTGGAACATCACAGAAAAAGGGTAATCCTGCAGCAAAATCCTTAAACCATGAACATCAAAGCAAGAGAACATACGGCATACTCGTACCCCTTAAAAAAGCGAAGGAGAGCCACAATATCCTTACCCTTACCAACCATACAAGACTGAATCATTTTTATGATATGCTCACTTTCTTATATGCATAGAAAAGTAAGGGAAGACTACGTCTGAGGCATATTTTGTGCTTTGCACCTTTACATTATGCATGTTAAATGCATTTTACCCAAGCATTTGGGACCTTTGTTTTGCCCAGTAAGTAAAAAGTATTATTTCAAATTACTTCTTACTTGAATAAAAGTAATTAAAAAACAGATCATTGAAAGCAGAAACAAGGAAAGGGCCAGGCCTATAAATTCTAGCTCTACTCCTCTTCCCACCACCACATTTCTTCTAAAAGTTTCTTCTGTGCACATAGCATCCTTCTAGAATTTTGTTTTGGGAACAAAAGCAGATGACAAAATACATGACTCTCTGAAGCCACAACAGCTACTTTGAAATAGACCATATCTCAACTACACAAGGTCCAAGACAGCCATTAATCATGCATTAATGCAATACTGCCTCAATACAAGTTGACTTCACAGGAGAAGAAATCACTAGTAATTCTGAAAATGGCAAAATATTATAACTACTAATATTATTAATCTGTATTAAGTTTACTGGTAACGTTAGGCAGGGAAGGTAGAGCTCAAAAGCTTCCTCAGATTTCTTGACCAAAATCCAACATCTCATACTAATAATGTACCTGTGCTTGTACTTGCAAACAAAGTGCCAGGAGCTGTACTTGTAGGGAGTTTTCCATTATTTAGCTGTTTCACTCGTTTCAGGTGAGACTTCCCGTTGTAATGAACTTGAGCTTGTGCTGCAGAGTTCAGCTGTATATTGCACACTTCACAGAAGGAAAATAGTATCTTCTTTTTTTCTTTGCTTAATTGATAGTCCTGTCTGTCATTCCTCAGTCCTTTTTCTTCAAAGCCCCGTAGAATAGCTGGTTGATTCATAATCCCATCTTCAAAGACGTGGTCAGGACTTAATGGATGCTTCATACCTACAAAGCAAACAGCCAAAATTGTTACAAGGAGCCGACTAATAATTCTTACTACTAAATCAGCGTTTTTGTTTTTTTAAAATGTTACACAACATGAACCAAAGACCAGTTCCAACAAATAAGGTTCCAAATTGTGGAGGCATCACTTAGTGGAGAAATACATGCATTTGTGACACACCACAGAGCTCAGAAATAATAACTTGGCAATAAATTACAGTCTCTGCAAAACAACAACTCGCAACAAGTCATTTCTTTCTGTAGGCTGTTTTAAAGCAGATTTATTATTGCATCTCTAGCAGATTTTTAAGGTTATTTTCAGAAACATTTCCTCTGCATCACTAAAGCACTGGTTCCAGAGCTTTTTACTTTCTAATGCCGTAGCTGTACCCACTGCCCCAAATTATTCAACAAAAAGGATGCCAACAAGAGATGTTACTGAAACACTGGAAGACTGCACTGTTCAAGTGATACTTACGAATACTTCCATACACCCAAACCTTCAGCCTCCATACAAGCATTAAGATGTTGTCTATTGTAATCCATCAACACCTTCACAATTAAAACTACTACAGAGGGAAAATGTCAGCTAGACATTAGTCTCATGGGAGCTACACAAATCACAGTAAGTGACAGTTCCTGAAAAAAATCCAAGAGCCTGAAATACGCATTTGTGCCTTACAGAATCAAACCCTCATCACAATAAATGAACCAAGCTCCACGAAGAACAGTTTTTGTATATGGGTGGAGGTGTGCAGGCATGTATTTCATTTAAGGTATGCTTCAGAAGTAGAAGAAAGCGGGGGGGAAGGGGGCTCTTTGTAATGGGGGGAAAGGTCTTGGGAAACTCACATAGAAAAGACTTTTGCTTGCTTGGCTAAACAACTTGCTGTTTATACTTTATTCTTTTCTCCCAATACCAAAATACTCTTAATCTACCAACGGGTGGCTCAGGGAGCTGTGCAGAATAGCACTTCTTTCCAGGCAAGAACGCATATATACACACACACACACATATATACATATATTCAGTTTTCAGAAGCAAAGAGGTTTGAAATGGAAGGTCCTGTTTTCAGCCCAGGAACCAGACCAGCACAAATCTTTGTGCACACCTACCACCCTGTTAAGCAGGAGGAATGAAACACCACACCTCCACACACACAGAAAATGAAACACTAAAGCAGTCGTAGCAATCCTTCCCAAAACTGTGTAGTATTCACAAGCAATACTAGAATGCTCTCCTTGCTATCAGACAAGTATATTACCAGGAAAAAGCCTGTTTGGTTCTTTGCCACAAGTATGTGCATGTTATTTATATGATGGGATGGCGTATTTCATCCCATTCCTAACTCTATCGCATCTTAAAATTTTAGTTTTGTACAGATTCCTCCTCCAGCATGATTCACCAATCAAGTGTGATAAATAAACAGTAAATAGACTTAGTCATATATTTGTTTCATATAACTGAAAGTCCTGTCATCAAATAAAAAATATGAACAATACATTCATTAAGATATACATCACATCAATTACTTAAACAAAAAAATCATTATTAAAAGTAACTGTAGACTACAGGAACCTATTTGCTTTTAAAAGCAAAATACTATTGGATCCTGAAAACCTAGGCTAGACACTGCCACACTGAATCATTTAAGCCTAAATATCATATTTCAAGGCAAGCAACCAAGATCCTCGACTCAGCTGAGCTTAGATGACATTTTCATCTGAAAATTTAATCTGCTTAGAGCTTTGGTATTTGTTACTTTTCAGTGTATTTTTTAAACCATAAATAACTTCCCCTACTCCCTTTGTTTTCTCTATATTTTTATTTCAACAGCACCATTGTAGTTTTTCTTCCCTGAAGTAAATTTTTTGAAACAGAAGCATTTTATATTACATTGGTTTAGATACTATAATTATTTAATAATAGATAACAGTTTAAAAATCCTGGCTTGTCAGAAATCTCATAAATTTGACTGCAGAAAGCAAATAATTCTAAATATAATTCAGTAATTATTTCAATAATCCGTAAGATCTTAGTCAAACTCAGTTGATTTGGATACATTTAAAAGCAGCAAACAGCTGCATTAGAAAGCTGCATGGAACAGAAGGCAAACTGATGGAGCCAAGAGCTGCTGCTAAGTACCTGTAACAGCACCAGAATCTTTCAAAGGAGGGTTGTTTTGGAAAGCACCAGCCTGGTACTGCATTAGCACATTATCACTGCAGCATGAGATACATACGCTCCTGGACTGCATGCTTTGGTTTACTTTCATCCAAGGGAACAAAACCTTTCAGCTGGTAAAGTCTGAGACTGCTGAAATGCAAAATGAGTGGGGAAAATCAGAACACTTCCCTCAGAATATACTCCTGACAAGACCAAAAATGTTTTCAATATGGACACACCCAGAAAGAACAACTGAGCACAGCAAGGACTCAAACTCTGCACCTACACCCTAAGGCATCCCAGCTGCCAGTCTAGAAAGAAAATTAACCTTCAGACAAAGAATAAGAAACCACTGTCCAAGTTTCACATTTGTTTTTAAAAACAAAATAGTTTTAAACCCACTCTGACTACAAAGTACCATCTTCCTTTGCATAACACAGGACAAAGGAGTCTTTAAATCAATCTCTTACTACTAATTTACGAACAAAAAAAAACCACAAGCTGCAATTTCAAAATAACCCGGATTGCCTAAAGCTCTGCATCTAAATTAAAAGGTGACCTGATTATAAGCAGCACTGACCTCCCAGCAACTGATGGGAGCAGCAGATGCAAAGCACATCTAAAAAAATACCTACGTTGAGCATCCTAAACCTTGGCTTTAGGAGGGTTTGCAGCAGCATTCTCTGACCAGTCCAACCTGGAGAGGACATGTACATGCAGCCAGATACCAAACCCCACTAGCCCCCAGAAGTCTGTCTGTCCCTATACAGAAATCCCAGCCCTCATCTTCCCAGGATTTGAGAGACCTGAACATTTAGTGTAGAAAATCCATCTGTTCCTACAGTCTTGTCCAGTTCCTTCTGAAGTGTTTAAGAAGAAAATGTTGGTGGCAAACACCCACTGAGAGTTTACAATATGCACATCTTTCACATAGCAATACAGCTTTTACGATCAGTTCTTGTGGTGTATGTATCTGTTAAAAAAATAGAAAGGTTATTACATGAAAGGTCCCATTTGTCTTTAAAACTGTGTCTCCTTCCTGTCTTCTTTAAAGTTAGGTTTGGAAAAACACACTTTTAAAAGTCTCTGCTGAAATGTCCTGGCTCTAGGATATACAGAACAAGTGCAATTCTTCACTGAAGCAGTATTAAGAATCTCACCATGAATACAATTTGTTTTGTGAGATGTAACCTTTCTCTGTAAAATATTCAGATAGCCGCCTACTTTTATGAAAGACATTTGCACCTACATATTAAATTCTAATTTAAAAAAAAAATAAACCAAACAAGAAAGCTCACTAACCAAAAAACTTAAGCAATCTTCCTATACTATACATTTCCTAGTCACTCAAATTTATGCAAGCAAGAATCTGGCAAGTGTCTTTATCCTTTAAAAAGAGCTTTTCATTGCAGACAGATTTTGAAGAGTTCTGGATGGTACTTATTCTCACTCACCGGGAGTCAGACATAAAATGGGGCCATTTCGTTCCTCAGGTTTACACATCGCTCGATAGCATTATCATGTAACAGAAGCAGCTACTTGAGACTTCAGTCAGTGAACTGAGAATACAGAGAAGCTACATGATCATAATATTCTGCGTAATCAAAAAAATCATTTAGAGTAATAGTTATAATAGATGGGGATTATGAAGTATTCAGAAGTAGACAAGAATAAACCCAAGAATATGAGTTCATTAAAAGGGAGAAAGGAGGGAAATTATCATATGGGGAAAATACAATAGATCAGTCCTGTGAGCTCCCACGTTTGTGTAACCTGGATACAGAATAGTACAAGCTGAGTCTCAGCAGCAGCTGATACGTAACAATATCCACTAATTAAAATGTCCCATACAAAAAGAACATGATTCTGTGAATCGCACTGGAGTGATACACACATTACAACAGTAGTGCTATACCACTGTAGTTGTATTTACTCAATGACTTAGTGGACTAGGACCAATTAAGAACTGACAGGTGAGAACATGAAATCGAGAAAAAAAAAAAAAAGGGGAAAACAAAAAGGAACATTCAAGTATGTTAGAAAACATCCAGCTGAATGATCCAGAAGATAAATCTAAGTCTGTAAAGGGATTGTATGCCATGTTCATCTTTCAAAGGTACTTTAAAGTTTGCTGCTTTCTCTTGCAAAAGGAAGTTCTAATTCAAACTAGATATCTTTAGTTTGATAAAAAGGAGGAAGCAACGCACGTATGAGAGGTATTTTCAGGTATTTGACATAGGCTGTTACCAGACTAAGGAAGTTGTCCCTGCTTTGCGTTTCCTCCCAAGTACACAGAACTGATCTATCTGCATAGATTCTGCAAGCAATACTAGAGCAAGAATAAGTTAGTGATTTATGACACCACATTAAAATTCTTAGGTGTCATGAGATACCCTGTTAGGATTTCTGAAACCACATCTTCTCAGCCTCTTACAGCTGGTAAAAAAATCTAAGCGTGGACATCCTTTGTACTTGAAGCTCAAGGCAATTAGCCTTTCAGTTTAGCTAATTTACTTTTAAACAGAGTTGTGCTTTCAGAGAAGCTACAAAGAAGTATTATATATTACACTGCTGTAGGTGAGAATGTGCAAATCTTTACTCAAAGGAAATAAGTTTTAGTTATCCTAATGAATTAGTGATGGTTACATGAAGCATTCTTTTCCTGAGTGCTGGTCTAAACTTTTGCAATGCCCATTCCTAATTAGTTGAAACTTCAAAGAACCACTATGCTGGAAATGTAATTAGACTGCTGTCCCTCTGTGGATGCGTGCCAGGTAAGCAAAACAGAAAATGTATTTTAACAACTGACATATGGGCAAAGAGAATTTTCTCCTTTAGCCTTTGGAAATCGTCAAATAAATTACAGAAGACACAGAACAAATATAAAATTTAACTGGTTTTCTATATAGTTAGGTTTCCAAAAAGGTTCATTCAGACAGGGGTGGGGAGGGGGAGGCAAGGAGAAGAAAAAGAGAGACCAAAGACTAAGCCTTGTTCTGTACACCTCTTAAGCACCTCCCACGGAGAAAAACTGTCTATGCAGATGGACCGGTGAAGTCTGCATGCATGCCTTCGGACCTGCAGTCTTGCACTGGGGCAAGTATGATTCCATAGTTCCACATCTCTGCCACAAAACATTCACACACAAAAAGAAAGGGGGGGGGGGGGGGGGGGGGAAGGAGAGAAAAAGCTAGCTTGAACACATCCAGAGCATTATTAAGAAGAAATTCATGAGAGCTGTTTTTGAGAAGTCTTATGACCTTTCTTATATTTTTAAATAGTATTTCCTAAACATAGATAAACTATCAAGAGGCATATGGCTTGCACCATCTGGGCAACAAGTACTATTGGGATACTGTGGTGAACAGCATATGCATAGTGCCTTGTGCACAGTATCCTACAGTGTTAAAAAAGCACTAGAGACTATTTTGAAGCCAACCTTGAAAAATCCCCCATATGTTTAAGGGACCAGTTCTCTTCCAGAAGATGTGTTCCTCTTTCTTTCAGTACAAATCAAAACAGAGAACTGCCATGTTTCAAATTCACCTTATTCTGAAATTCCTCAGGGAGGCATCATATCCTGCAATGTTTCCACCTGTCAAACTTTTTATTACCCATACATACACATCTGACCAACTCTTCATTATTTCTTCCATCTCTGCTCACAAAGCACATAGAATGTTTTAATTAAAAATTACAGTAAAAACTGAATGGTTCTGAAAAATACATACATTTTTATTACTTGTGACAGATAAGGAATAATCATGGCACACTGACCAAACTGGGTTAAGTAACTTTTTGCCTGTATTTTCATACTGATTTATCAACACACAGAAGAGAAAGTCGGTTTGCTTGAAAAGTTTTGAATGGTGTAGTATGACAAATTGCTGACAGCCTCTTCACTAACACATTTTAGAGTATTTAACATTTGAACAAGATTCCCTTTAAACTACAAAAACAGATGGTTGTTTCACACCACAAACATTAGCTGTTCAGTACAAGGTAATTCAGAAAACTCAAAACATTCAAGTAGCTACTATTTTGCTTTGTTCTACCAGCCTTGAAAACGTCCATGCTAAGGAAACCTAAAATTAGGCTTACTGTACTATTTTGTGAGCTCAGCTAAACTGGAGTAAATAATACCATTCTCAATTTAGATTATCACAGACTGCAGTTGCATATGCCCCTATTCATCACTAGCTCTAATTATAAGGTTGATCCTTTCCTCTTTAGCTCCCATACTTACAGACTTCTGACATTTTTAACATTAACAAGAATACATTTACACATCAATTTATTTGCCAAAGACATATATCCTCACCTGACAGAATATATCTGACTGCTGCCAAGAACATTAATCAAGTTTGGAGACCAGACAGCTACTTTGGATTACACTTCAAGAGGAACAGATAGTTTTCCAGCATTATTGTAACATCATTTTGCTTCATAAACCATTGGACAAGCTGGGGCCTTCTACTGAGGAACCTGTCATGAAGCCATTACTTACCTTCAGTTAACTTACACTCTACTTTACGTACTCTTACCTCATTGTAGAAGAAAATCTAGATACCCAAAGTGTCCATCGCATGGTTCTCTACGTCATCTTAGGCTTTTGTCCTCTCCTACCGTATGCCTAAATCTAACAGAGAGAACAGACCTACCAGGAAAATTGCTACTCGGCTCGCTTAGCTTTCTCCATCAAGTCTGTTGAATAAATCCATACAACATGTCCAATAACCACACTGCCACCCCTGATGTGCTATTCAGTTAGGTACCACACAGTCGGGTCTTTAGTGTCCTCAAACAAAAAAGAGTCCATGACATACCAAACATCACTGATTGTCAGTATTGGGTTATATTTACATCTTATTTCATCCAGGAACCCTAGCTTTCTGTCAAAGACCCAAGTATTCTGTATTTCTAAAGCAACACCTAGGAAGGAGGAAAACCACACAAAAATATAGACAGACTTAAATGAGTTCTTTATTGGACAAAGCCAGGACTGAAATATGTCGTGTCAAAATGGCAAGAAGCCAGCAAAAGCAACCAATAATTAAAAAAATAGGTGGGATGCTTTTAAAAGGTTAAACATGTGAGAAGTACAAGTCATTTTAATAGTAACCCTTCAAAAATTAGATTAAAATTTTCAAAAGCTTTATTAAGTACCTAGCTGAATTAATTTATTAAGCTTTATTATTACAAGTAGTAATGAACAAAGCAAGTTTTCTTAAGTGTATTCCAAATTCTGCCCATTTTCAAAATCTGTTTCCTTGAGACTAGGGAACTGTCTTATCAATTACTAAATTAATAAATAAATTTAATTATATTGTCTCTAAGATAATTTTGTAAGAGTATTTCCTAAATCTCCAAACTTCTGCAAAGCTGCTAGATCAGGTTTTTTCCTTGCATCTTTCAAAGTATTGTATCTAAGTGTTCTTTTAAATCAAAGGATTCCTCTTATATTCCTCCACTGGAAAAAAAAAAAAAAAAGAAAGAAAAAGGAAAAAGGTACATTGAATAAAATGAGCTGAATAGATGCATCTCGACCAGATTTTACAACTTGGAAGAGCTGACAACAAACTTACAAAAGGAAAATGATGTAGATATAGTTTGAACCTGCCTTCAATAATAAAAAGACCACCAAAAAAAAGAAAAAATTAGCTTTTTTTAAGAAAAAAATATTTCTATATGTTTTAGAATCACCTCTTAAAACATAAGCTAGGAATACCCACTGCAAAGCAAATGGTTTTTAACTAGTTAGAGAACTGATACAGGATGTAAGGTATTTCTCGTGAATCATCTGTTTTAATTATAAAAAAAATTTTAGGCATGAATTTGCACGAATAAAGATCAAAACCCACTGACATAATGGGAGATTCCCACAGGGTGTTTGTACCTGGCTGTTCCTTTATCTTGCTCGAGCATAATCACATTTGAGGGGTAAATAAAGCTTTGATCTCAGGAAGCAAAAATCATTTCCTACCTTTCTTTAAAATAGAGAGCTCACCTGAGCGTAAAAGGAAGCCACAATAGAAAGCCAGGCATATTAGACAGCTGTCTTGTTCATATAGCCTAAGTCTGACAATGCTAGGAGCCGAATATAAGATATGCTGGAAATCATTAATTCAGGATAAAGCCTGGTAATGCTGCAAAAGAGCTCCAGACACAAGAGCAAGAACTTTGAGGACTGTGTGAGTAATAGCTGGGCATGAACAATGAACAAGCTACATTCAGAAACAGTACAAGATTGAGACGTGTCAGCTTGCTTGATAGCACTAAGAATACAAAGAGAAAATCCTGCTCAAACCTGCAAGCATGATCCGCAGCAGTGAACATCAATCCTAAATCCTAATACTAGCAGTGCTCCTAAAAAAATGGTCCCAGATTAGTCATCCATAAGAGACTGTCAATGTCCATGTAAACTATTGATTCTCTTTTGGAACTGAAAAATAATGAAAACAATGTTCCCTTATAGTACAAAGGTAAGGGGACATAGCATATGT